CTTTAAAAAAAGAAATTGAAAATGAGAATCTTGAAGCTATAATTACTCACGGACATTTCTCCCCTTGGGCCATATGTAATAAAGTTGGCTTCTGGGCGACGTGGGATATTAGTTTATTCACCTTTGCATGGTCAACACAGCACACTGAGGCAATCAAGGAACATAATCAGCAGGGATTTTGAAGGAACTTTGACTCTACCAAACTCTTCAAAAGTCTTGGCATTCATTTGGGTTTTGTGTGCCTAAAAGAGCTAGGCAGGGATCCTTGGAGACAACCTTTCTCAGTCACAAAACGCACAGAGAGATTTCCCATCAGCAACCTGTTCTGCATTTGGAAAGCCTGCTCTGTTTTTATTCCGACAGTAGAGGTGTAGGGGTGGCATAAGGCCCAGAGAACGTCTTCCAGTAGACAGGTGACCAGAAACAAAACTCAGAGGTGTTCACCTCCGGTTGCCATCTCCCAAATGCCATCTGCATTGCTCACACAAGGGTAATGAAGGCACTTAAATATTCATCACTAATTGCTTGTCAAGGCTTCATACATCCAATGGAAGTGCCTAGTACTTGGACCAATATTTGATTTGGATTGCTCAGCCAAAATATTGAGTTGGCGAATTATTTGAGATACAAATAGACATAAATTAGATCTCAAAGACATCAAGTCTTTTAAAAGCATGCAGTATGTGGCTTGCATTAGTGGAGAACATGGTGTCAAAAACAAAATGATGTTCAAGAAAAATATAATGCTTCGTCTCACCCCCACATGCTATTAAATTGCTTCCAAATTGAGAAACCAGTTGACTCTGAGAACAGAAAAAAGCATGCAAGGAGAGGTCCGCCACTTCCTCTTAAGTTTTCCAGCCATGCTCTCTGGGGGATATGGTTCTAGGACAGTTTCAAGAAAGGCAGCCATTGGCTTCTGCAGCTATAGCTCAGGTCTCTTGACAGTTCACCAGACTGCCAGAGAGATGGTCATGAATGATACTGGTAGATCATATACCCTACAGAACTGCTTGCTACCCACGGTAAAATGTTTCCATCACATAAGATAATTGTATCACAGGAGGAAGAGCCCAGCGAATGCGGTCACAAATGACTAATGGGGAATTGAAATCCTTCATACAGTGCAGGCTTTATCTTGGCAAACCTTACAATAGTACAATTGTAAGAACTAGATTAAAATTTCTCTCGAGTCTGTGGCCTTGGAACTCTGTACTCTATTCATCCAAGTCCATATCTGACTTGATGGGAAAAACTCAAGTTGTCTATCAGCAGACAAGAGAACCCAGTTTACAGTCCAGCTCACAGAAGCACACAGCATTGAAGCTGAAGGAAGTAGACTCTCGCCCAGTTTGCTTGGGGTCTGAGATTGGCATTTTTCATAGCTTTGTAACCTCTGGATATCTTTCTCTCTCTCTCTCTCTCTTTCTCTTTCTTTCTTTCTTTCTTTCTTTCTTTCTTTCTTTCTCCTTTCTTCCTTTCTCTCTCTCTCTCTTTCTTTCTTTCTTTCGTTTCTTCGTTCCTTTCTTTATTTTGGCTGAGGGAGTCTGAAAGTAGGTATCCACTAAGCTGAATTTAGGAGCTTCAAGGACACTAACTTAGCAAACTGTTTTCATAGTAAATATAAGTGTTAAAATACAGTTGCATTCACACACAGGTGTGTGCACACACACATACACACACACACACACATACACAGTCCTTCATCAACAACATCTGAGAATTCCCTGGTCACAGAAAACATCACTATGCTTGTTTGACTTCTTTAGAGAAAGGACTGTGCACACACAATGCCTTTCAACGTTTGATTTAATCGTCTACCAGGAAATAACACTACACATTGTCTAGAGAATGTCCCATTTGGATGAAAGGGGCTTCAAAAGAGAGACAGCAAAATGGAAGTAAACAGAACAGAAAAAGGATGAAATGTTAAATGTTTTCTAAGCCACCGAGTCCGCCTCTACGGATGACCATCCTATTGAGATGCTGAAACTAAGTGAACAGGATGCTGTGCTCATCTTCCTACTAAATTACACATGACTAGCTGCCTCTAATGCACATGAACTATTGAGAGGAAGCAATGAGCCTTCTTAGAGTGGAGCCCCCCACACTGGTCCAGAAGCTGTCAGCAAGAGGAAGTAAAGAAGGAAGACCATGGTAGCTACAATCTTGTCCCTCTTCTACTCTTGGTATCTTCCTTCTTAGACACATGAAAAGGAAGAGGAGGACATGATTGGAGGGACCCCACGAAGTATGGCCATATTTCTAGTGACAACAGCAACCCAAGCAGAAAGTAATGTCCCTTAATTCCACTTGGAATTTGATACTATGGTTAAATGTTATATACATTTCTCAGGAGTCCAAGTATACATGCATTTAGACAGGAAGCAAAAGAAGTAAGTGCAGATAATGTGTAAGTTAAACTGTTCAGGAGTAGTAGGAGAAAGAGCCAGTCAAAGGGACTGATATGGGTGCTATCATTTTCAAGACTCAATCACTTGAGATTCTATACCCTTTAGTTTCAAAATTTCCTTTTACAGAACTCTCTTTTCAAATATGGATAGGAATAAGAATAGTGTGACTCTCACAGTCGTCAGAGTTAAGTCTTGCCTAAGTAGCATCAACTTCAATACAAGGAGATAAACACAAGTGGGAGCAGGGTGTGGGGGCACAGGGCTGGTTGTTTCAGGACTTGGGAGGCTGAGGCAGAGGGCTTGCTGTGAGTGTGAGGCTATCCTGGGACACACGGTGCGAGCTGTGGGATCCAGAGTTGCAGAGGAAGGCCTTGTGTGCTGTCGGAGCTAACAAAGACAAGAACAACTAACCAGCTAGCACAGAGGTGTGGCGGAAGACGTTGGAAATCACACACACCAAGGTTCGGGAAACAAGGAAATCTTGATGGACAATGCTCATAATTTTCCACCACCTTCATAATCTTGTTTCCATTGGGATCAAGTTAATAAAGTCATATCAATGATAATTTTTATCGAATTTGCCACAGCATACCTCAATTTTATGAGCAAGTTTTTAAACCACCAATGCCAGCAGTGCCAGGTAGTAGTTAGGCTTTCCTGGGCTCTTAATACCATTCAGATGCTGATCTAGAACTTCCTTACCCTCATCCAGTTAGAAAGAGCAGCAGCAGAGGTACAGCAACCTTCAAAAATACTGGCAAAAGGTCTTTCCTGCCAGGGTCATTGGAGAGTAGATGAAAATAACCCTCACAAAGCAGTCAGAACAGAACCTTGGTGCACATATAAGTATAAGCCAAACAAAATGTCCCATCTGCCCCTCTGCTGATTAAAAACGAGCAATTGGACAGCAACCACATCTCCTTTGGAAGTACAGTCCTGTTTGGCTAACCTAGTCTCAGATAAGTCTAAGGTTTGCTAAGACCAAGGGAAATATTATGTTAAGGCAGTTAAGATTCTGTGAGATCTTTTCTGATCTTATGCTGTCCTGAACGAAGATCAAATGATTGTGCCTAGCCGGAAGAAGAGCAAGATGCATCCCTGTGATCCTGGCACTCATGAGGTGGAAGGAGGTATTACAAGTGTAAGGACAGCCTGGTCAACATAGTAAGTTCCAAGCTGGTGGAGCTACACTTGGGTCCCAAAATACCAATGGAATAAAAGAAAGCCATCAATCTAGCCCCGGCGGTTCTGGGGGCCAGTGTGTGGAATCACACAGCTCTCCCTAGAGTCTTCATGTTCACTTGTGGCATGGCAGCTGGCCTTTGGCTGTCCATCTTATCTACTGACCACTACAATAGGAAAGAGCACTGAATCGCTTGCATATGACCACAGTGTAGGGACCCAACAGGACAGCCGAAGCATAGCTACACTTTCTATTGGAAAAGGTAACAGGGATTAACCGGGAAAGGGGCACATTTGAGATGAGAATATGTTTAAGTAAACCATGTAAGACATCTGAGTCTCAGAACCCTAATTTTAAAATTTGGTTTAAATGTGAGACAGGTTCTCATCAACTTACAAACATTTAAGAAATTTACATTTTTGATATTAAAAAGAAAACTTCATGGGGAAAACTAAACACCAAGGAAAAAAGAGTGTCAAACATGTAGGGTTCACGGGAATGGTTATGGGCCTCAGCTCCCTGTGGTAAAGACAAGAAATACATATTAAAAAAAATAAGATTTGAGTTGTTTTCAAAATCATTGAACTCCCTCACTCCTTCTCTTTATATATCAATGTATCCAATGTTTATTTTTTTAATTTTGTCCTTTTCATACTTAGGAATGAGACTGATTACACGTCTTTGCCTATCTAGAAGTCAGAAATTTCCTTCCATTATGATTACATCACGTTGCACAGAGCAACTCCACAGCAAACACAAAGGACAGTGGCCATCTTTGTTATCTTTCATAGCGCAGTCAAGGCAGAAGCGTGCACAAGCTGTGCCCAGGAGAAGCCAGAGCCTCTGCTTTAGTTCTCGGCACTTAAATTAAACAGTGCAAGGAGAGACAGTTCCCCTGTCCCTCTCTGAGTCTGGGATTCAGATGGGCAGTGAGCCTCGCTCCCCACCAGCACACAGACGGACCCAAGGAGCGGGATAGGCTGTGGATCGGCTGCCATAATGGACATCTCTGAAATAAAGCTCCCGAGCTATAAAACTCGTAAAAGGCACATGCATGTAATGACAAAACAGAGTGAGGCTGTCAAATGGTGACTTGGTAGCAGCTAAAGCCCTCTGGCTGCAGCTTTTTTGTCCCCCTTTCTTTACGGTCTCCTACCATACTAATGACACAGAGAATGAGGGAGTAGCGAAAAGGAAAGAAAGAGAAAAGATTCTAACTCTCCCATCCAGTTATGTGAACTTCACAGCCCAGCAGAAGCACCAGAAGATTATTCATAACATTGTCATGATTTATCAGCTGGGGATGTTTTCATCTGCTGAAATAAAAGATTGAAGAAGCCACATGGATGTCCACCCCCTCAGCCCGTCATCTTCACTCTTGCCTATTGATGGCTCTGGGCTCT